TGTATGAGACAGGCATACAACAAACGTGTTCATTATCGGCCCCTGGAGGATGGAGACCTAGTTTTATGAAGAACTGCCGCAACAGGCAAAGGGAATGCAGAGGGAAAATTCACTGCCAATTGGGAAGGACCTTACCAAATATATGAAACTTTGCGGCAAGGATTGTATCGGCTTATGACCCAGAAGGGGTGCCCCTGAAGAATGTTTGGAACGCAATTGTTTTGAAAAAATATTATGTTTAGATATCTTATGTGTATTTTGCTTACTATTTAAATATCGGGATGACATGTAGTCATACGTTTATTTATGGTATTTATAAATTTTGTAATCTGTTTCAGTTTGGCTAAGGCCGGTAATAAAGTTTGATGATACCTACGAAGTACAGGACCTCCTACTTTCGATATGACTTGATAAACAGCCTAACTAGCTGTCTCATTCATTCAAGTGAGGAGGGAGGTGGATAACAAATGGGCCTCAAGGCTAGTTTAAATGACGGTCTGATCCACTGCCTTTACTCGGCCTGATAAAGGTCGCATATATAATTTCAGTATGACATTGTCGAAATAATTTATACATATGGCCGGAAGGGCACATAAAGTTTCGTAAAAAAATTTTAACATTTAAAATTTATTGTAAAACTTGGGGAGCATGGGTAACAGACAGTAAGCCCGTTAAAACCGATAATACAGCAACCAAGAAAAGGGTTAAGACATAAAGCTTCGCAAAATAAAAAAAAAGAAGAAGAAGAAGAAAGAAAAAGAAAAGAAGATTATAGACATAAAGAACAACAGACATAAAATATAAAAGTAACAATAAAAATAGTAATTAAAAATTATAGATATAAAGAACGATAGCCATCACCCAAAAAAGTCAAGGGTCAGATTGGATAAATGTACGATAAAGCAAAGAAAATTGTTTCAACAACAACTACAAACAACAATTACATGAAAAAAAAGACCCCACATGATTTTGGTGGTGACTGCCCATCCTGTTAATCCTTCTTGGCCTCAACTTCTTTCTCGGGCACCTTTCCAGGATCTTTGTCAGCTTCATTCCCATGAGGACCATCAAGACCCTTATCACCATTGTGCACAGCAACAGGATTGCTGATAGGCGGCAAGTCGCGTGGGTCCAAGTTGGTTAGGATCGAATATGGTGGTGGCTCATCAAAGTAATCACCCTCGTAGCTAGTAGGAGAGTGATGCATTTCCTAACCAAAAGCGCTTTCGGTAGCCTGCCACCTTGTTGAATCCCATCCTTCAGCTTTGCACACACAACAATGCGCTGCAACCTATCCTCCGGTATAGCAATCAACCAGCAAATTATGATAGAGATCAGACTGCAGAAATCGATTTACTGCTCAACGCCTGATGCCTGGCTTGTCACGCTGCATTTCCTCCAGCTTACCTTCCAGCGCGACCTTAGCCTCTCTTTCTTCTTTCAGATTCTGCTCAAGGCCATTACTTTTCTTCTGCAAGTTTTCTTGATTCAGAAGTTTCTTCTTTAACTCTTAATGATAATAAAGCTTTCTCTCTCTAAGTTGAGACTTTCTCTCTCTAAGATCGTTCTTCCTCTGCCATGGCGAGGAGAAAAGCGAAGAAGGATTCGATCAGAGGGGAGGGAAGCGTGCAGAAGACTGTTGATAATGGAGAATTTTGTGATGAAAATCCTTTGCGACCTCATTTGAGAAATGGTGAGGGTTCTTCGCCGATTAATTTTGGGAATTTAGAGAATCTGGATGATATGCTGCTTTCCCCTGAACAATCAATGCATGAGCTGATTCAAGGGTCAAGGATGAAGTCCAGATTGTCAGAATGGATGAATGTGTTGCAATCGAAGGATAGAATGGATGTAACAGTGAATTTTGATGGTCTGGAAAACAGGGTATCTTCTGCTGAGGTACCTATTTCTTCTTCTTCTACGAATTTACTGCAATTGTCAATTGATGATGTCTCTGAGGAAATTGCTTTCTGGAATATGAGTATTGTGGCCTTTGTGATTGGGGGAAACCCATATTTGACCTCTTTTACTGGGTTTTGTAATCGTATTTGGGGGGAGAAGAATATTGATAAAGTAATTCCGATTAAGAAAGAGGTTTTTCTGATTAGATTCTTGAATGTTGAAACTAAGGAAAAAGCTCTTAATTCTGCTCATATACTGTTTGATAATCGACCTGTTTTCTTTAAACAATGGGTTGATGGAATGGAGATTGATTGTGATGAATTCAATAGAATCCCTGTTTGGATTCAATTGCCTGATCTTCCTTTGAAGTTTTGGGGGAAGAATTGTCTGGAAAAAATTGTGGGTATTATTGGTACTCCAATTAAACCTGATTCTGCTACTCAGAAAAAAGAGAGAGTGAGATTTGCTAGATTCTTGGTTAAGGTTGATTTGGATGGTGAATTTATGGAGAAAATTGAATTCATAGCCGAAAATGGGGCTTTGGTTCAGCAGAAAGTGATCTTTGAATGGAAGCCTAGGAAGTGTGAATCCTGTCTGCAATTGGGACATGACACAAATGAGTGTAAGAAGGTGAAGAAGGTCTGGAGACCTAAGGTTGTTCAGGCTAATGGGCATGGTGATAAAGCTGAACAACTTGTTGAGAAAGGTTCACCTGTTGATGGTGTGGATCATGGATTCATTACTTTAAGGAAAAGGCCTGGGGTTAGAAATCAAAGTCCCAGCACTCCTGTTTTGGTTAGAAATTCATTTGCTAGACTTTCATTGGATGATGATGATAGTGAACATGTGAATGATGATATTGAGAATGTGGTGAATGCTGGTAATCTTGGAGCTGATAAGGGTGGCGCCCCCACTCTGGGGCTAGGTGGGAATGGATAGAATGCTTGTTTGGAATGTGAGGGGTATAAATGGCTCCTCAAAACAGAAGGAGGTGAAACACTTTCTTTTGAGTCAGAAGGTTGGGTTGTGCTGTTTACTTGAGACAAAAATAAAGAATGTGAACTTCCCTAGTTTGCATAATAATATGTTTCAAGGTTGGGGTATCACTTTGAATTTTTCTTTGAGTAAAGGGGGTCGGATTCTTGTTGCTTGGCTTCCTGATTTCTTTCAGATTCAGATCTTGCAGATTCATGCTCAGTTTATTCATTTGAGAGTGAAGAATATGACAATTTCTAATGAGTATTTTCTCACAGTGGTGTATGGTGTAAATGATAGTCTTGGTAGAGAGGAGTTGTGGGGTAGGTGAAGGAGATGGGAGGTAAAATTCAAGAGCCTTGGATCATTTCTGGGGACTTTAATTCTCCTCTGAATTATGATGATAGGGTGGGGAGACCTATTACTCATTCTGAGATTGATAGTTTTAGAGAATGTGTGGGTGTATGTGAAGTTCAGGATATGAAGAGTATTGGTGGTAAATTCACTTGGAATAACAAGAAAGAGGGTGACAGGAGAGTTTACTCTAAAATTGATAGAACTATGGTAAATAAGGCCTGGATAAGTGCTTTCCCTGATTCTCATGTTCATTACCTTCCTGAGCAGTGATTAAGCTTGATGAGGATATAATGGTGGGTAAGCCAGGTTTCAAGTTTCTTGGTATGTGGGTTTCTCACCCTACTTATCATGAGATAATGAGGAAGGTTTGGGAGATGGATCTTTACGGGGTTCACATGTATAAGGTTGTTAAAAGATTGAAAGCTTTGAAGTGTGAGTTAAAAAAACTTCATAAGTCTGATTTTGTGGATATTGAGAGTAAGTTTAATGTGGCTTAGTTGAATTTAATGAAGCTGCAGAAAGATATTCAGAGTAATATTGATGATGACAGTTTGAGAAACAAGGAGCTTGAGATGTTGGAGGATTTTGCTCAAATTAAAAATCAGTATTTTTCTTGGTTGTCTCAGAAAGCCAAGATTAACTGGCTTCAAGTTGGGGATGAGAACACTAAGTTCTTTCATAGAAGCATTAAGATGAGAAATTACAGGAAGAGAGTGATTGTTGTAAAGAATACTTCTGGAGTTTGGTGTGATAATCCTAGGACAGTGCCTGAGGCTTTTATTGAGTATTATAAAGGTCTTCTTGGTGATGATCCAGGGGAAAGAGTCAGTGTGTGTAGTCAGGTGGTGCAGGAAGGGTATGTGTTGAATGAAGATCAAGCTCAGTTACTCTGTAAACCGTTTTCAAGAGATGATGTAAGAAAGGCTATTTTCTCTATTCCTGGGGCTAAAGCTCAAGGACCTGATGGGTATAACAACACTTTTTTCAAGTCTTCTTGGAATATTGTTGGTGATCATGTGACTGGTGTTGTGCTGCAGTTTTTTGAGACTGGTCAGTTACTTAAAGAGTTGAACTGTACTATTCTTACTTTGATCCCTAAGGTTGAGCATCCAGAATCTGTCACTGAATTTAGACCAATTGCATGTTGCAATGTCTTATACAAGTATATTACAAAGATGTTGAGTAGCAGACTTAAACTAGTATTGCCTGATATTATTGCACAGAATCAGACTGGTTTTGTTGAAGGGAGACAAATTATTCAGAATATTAGTATTATTCAAGACATTGTTGCTAGATATGGTAGAAAGGCTTCTCCTAGTGGTTGTATTTTGAAGATTAACATCAAGAAAGCTTATGACTCTGTCAAATGGGATTTTGTTGAAGAAATGATGGCTCTCAATTTTCCTAGGAAATTCATTGACTGGGTTATGGTGTGTGTTAGAACTCCTTCTTTATCCTTAGCTATTAATGGTCAGTTGGAAGGTTTCTTTTATGGGAAGAGAGGTTTGAGGCAAGGGGATCCTATGTCACCCTTAATTTTTGTAATCTGTATGGAATATTTGTCCAGAATCTTGAAGAAGGTTGTTGAGGACCCTAAGTTTCATTTTCATTCTAGATGCAGAAGATTGAAACTTAATCATCTTGTCTTTGCAGATGATCTGATTATGTTTAGCAAAGGTGATTTTGCCTCAGTTCAGTTTATGTTAAGGGCTCTGGCTACCTTTGCTGCTGCTTCAGAGTTGGTGGCTAATTAAGGCAAGTCTAATATGTATTGCTGTAATGTTGAGCAGACAGAGAAGATTAAATTGCTGCAGAATTCTGGATTTTGTGAAGGTACTCTCCCTTTCAAGTATCTTGGGGTGAATGTTGGTACTAAGAAGCTATCTAGGGATGATTGCCAATGTTTAATTGATAAAATTACTGCTAGAATCAGATGTTGGGGTTGCAGATCTCTTTCTTATGCTGGCAGAACCCAGCTTGTGAACTCAGTGCTTATGTCTCTTCACATTTATTGGGCTTCTATTTTTGTCATTCCTAAAGCTGTTCTTGATGGTGTTGCTGCTATATGTAGAAATTATCTGTGGGAAGGGAAGGTTGTGTATTCTAAAGCCCCCCTATAGCCTGGGATATTGTGTGTAGATGTAAAAAGAAAGGTGGCCTTGGAGTTCAGAATAGTTATAACTGGAATATAGCTGCTATTGGGAAGCAGATTTGGAATATTTCTCAGAAAAAAGATAGTCTTTGGCTTAGATGGGTCAATGAAATGTACTGGAAGGGCAGAACTTGGAAGAGGTTTCAGTGTGCTCACAACACTAGCTGGAACTGGAAGCATCTGTGGTGGGTTAAGGATAAATTGAAGACAGGATATGTTGGTAATAGTTGGTCTGGAAACCCAAATGGGTACACTATTGCTAGTGGCTATAATTGGTTAGAAATTCAATATTCTAATGTTAAGTGGGGTGATTGGGTTTGGAACAAACTGAATATTCCTAGGCATAAATTTGTGTGCTGGTTGATAATGTGGAGAAGGATTCGAGTGAGAGTTCATCTCTATAAAATTGGAGTGATCAATAATCCTTCCTGTCCTCTTTGTGATGATGGGGAAGAGACAGTGGACCATTTATTCTTTGAATGCGATTATAGCAGGAAATGTTCTTATTTTCTGCAAAAGAAGCTGATGATAATCATGGATCCTATGAATATAGAAGACTGCAATAACAAGATAAGATCTATTAAAGGCAGATTCCAGAGACAGGTGCTTTTCAGTTGTTATGCTGGGTTGCTGTATGTCATTTGGATTCAGATAAACAAAGTTGTCTGGAATAAATGTGTTATGCAGCCTGAGAAGGTGATCCAAAAGTTGTGGAGTGATCTTTTCCATAGAATTTCTTATGTCATGCCAGTCAAGACTAGCAAAAGAAATCAGATGTGGTTCAAGGATCTGTTTAGCAGATAAGAGTAGTGTGCTGTTTGGTTTTGTTGGTTGTAGGAGTTTGTGTTGTAGCTGTGTTTGTTTTTGCTTAGGGTTCTTGGCCCTTTGATGTATTGACTGCCTGTTTTTTTTGGTGATTAATAAAAAAAAAATTATCTTTTAAAAAAAAAAAAAAACTCTTAATGATCAAACACCTGCTTTTGTATAGTCTTCATATCAGACTTAAGCTTGTTGCGTTCTCTAATAACGGTCTTGCAGGCATCATCAGACTTCTTCAGTTTTGTTTCGACTTGGTCAGCACAACGCTGGTAATACTAGTACATATGTACCACCTCAACAGCCGAATTGACAGTCTGGAAATTGGAGGGTATGTAGTAAGTCGTAACGATACAGGCATATAAAACATTATAATAAATAACTAAAATAAAACACATAAATATAAATAATAATCATGAATAGGAGAGAAAAGGGGGTATCGTAAAAAGGATATCGTTGCTATCTTAACCGGAGCATGTTGTTCATCATTTGGTCGCAAGGGGCAGCAAAACGGTTGACAGGTCTGTCGGCCAGTGTAGCCAGGTTTTTCAGCATCCTCCAACCCATGCTTCCACCGGTACTGGGGTCGTCACAGGTAATGGAATCGCCCCAGTTAACATTAATTCGGGGACGCCATGGCTCCCCCACGGCGCCAGAAGGAACCGTGAAGGCCTCAGCAACCTCGTCAGGAATCGTAACCTGAGGGTTTCTATAAAATCACTGTTTATTGCCGGAACGAAAGCATTTCTATTGGAGGAGCCAGAACGCGTCGAGATGACCGTTTGCCTCTCCTGATTGGGAGGCTTCTCGATAGTCAAAACCCTATCGGTTCTGACTTCATTGTCGGCCCCGACATCACCCGGTCGCGCAGGGTGACCATTAGCTTCCTTTGAGGAGGGGGCTCTGTCTCGTCCTCCAAGGTGACAATGCCTTCCGGCCATATTTGCTGCTCTTCCTGCTGGAGCTTAGCTAGATCGGCATCCTGCTTCTTTTGTTTTTTAGATTAATCTCGGTCAGAGAGCTCAGTTGTCCTCTTTGAAACGTTGCTACCACCCCTTTTGTTAGGAAGGATTCTGGGCTTGACCACACGTTCAGCAGGGGCCATATCTTTCTCTCTTCGCCTCTTCTCTTAGACGCTCTGGTGGCGAACATGGGTAGAGTGTCGTAGGATTTTCTCGGCCTATAGGGGCATTGTTGCTTTACTTTGCCATCAGGATATAATCCTAGCCGTTTGAAGTCAAGCTTGTCAATACCTGATGATCAGGTGACATGTTAGAAAACATCAAAACAATAGGATTAAAGCCAGCAAGTAAACAAAAGTACGGGAGACAGGAAGAAGAAAATTTTGATTATTAATTATACAGGCAGTAACGACGAATGTAAAATAAATGTATAGAAGTTATGAAAAAATTCCATACCAAATTCATCGGTATGGCAGAGACCGACATGAGACAAAGGGGCGTTGCCCAGAATGTAATTACAATGGGGCAGACACACCCCCGGAACAACTTTATTCATCTTACCAGCACTAACATATGTACAGGTAAACCATTTAACAACCTTTCTCTCCAACTTTCCTAACGACCTGGACTTTATGGTTTCAAACATGCTATGTGGGGGATAAAAGGTCCTACGGAAGTTATAGTCCTCGGGTATTAGACCTCGAGTGGTAAACTAATAACTCGTAGATGAATAACGTACAAGAAATAAATTAGACATGTTATTGGAGTCATATTTATTTAAGAACTAAATTAGGTCCCGTGCCATGCACTGTAATTTTAAATAATTATTCAATAAAATAAAATTTTATTAAAAAAAAACATACATTTGTTAACAAAAACAAAAAATACTATAATGAATTTGTTTTTTAAAAAAAAAAACCATAATACTATGATTTAATTTTTTAAAAATAAATTCTATAATTTAATTAAACATACATTTGTTTTTCAAAAAATATAAATTTGTCTAAAATAGTATGATGAATTTATTATGAAAGAGCCCATTCGCCAGATAGGTATTTTAATATACACATTTGACAATACCTGGCCTATATATATTTGTATATTTAACCAACATATTAGTATCTTTTTTTTTTTTTTTTTTTTTTTGCTTATTAACCAAATGAATTTTTTAAAGCTATGTACTATGTATTTAACCCGTAAATATATTTCTATTTTAGTTTTTTTTAGAAAATAAATTGGTGTTGTAAAAATAATAGTACATTACACTCAATATGTCAAATATTATGATTCTGTTTTTTTTTCCTAAAATTTATACTTTGTAGTTGTTAATATTTTTGTGGAAGGATTTATCAAATATTTTATTTTAAGTAATTTTTAATATTCTAGTTACTTTCTTGAAGCTTCTAAATATACTGTATTATTTTATAAAGATATTAAATAAAAAGTTAAATGCAATTATTGAAATACATGACACTATGATTGGCAAAAATTATGTTAAAGCTAAGTTTGATTTTTTTTTGTTACATAAGTTTATATAGTTGTCAAGAATAAAATTTTATTAAAAAAAACATACATTTGTTAACAAAAACAAAAAATACTATAATGAATTTGTTTTTAAAAAAAAAACCATAATACTATGATTTAATTTTTTAAAAATAAATTCTATAATTTAATTAAACATACATTTGTTTTTCAAAAAATATAAATTTGTCTAAAATAGTATGATGAATTTATTATGAAAGAGCCCATTCGCCAGATAGGTATTTTAATATACACATTTGACAATACCTGGCCTATATATATTTGTATATTTAACCAACATATTAGTATCTTTTTTTTTTTTTTTTTTTTTTTTGCTTATTAACCAAATGAATTTTTTAAAGCTATGTACTATGTATTTAACCCGTAAATATATTTCTATTTTAGTTTTTTTTAGAAAATAAATTGGTGTTGTAAAAATAATAGTACATTACACTCAATATGTCAAATATTATGATTCTGTTTTTTTTTCCTAAAATTTGTACTTTGTAGTTGTTAATATTTTTGTGGAAGGATTTATCAAATATTTTATTTTAAGTAATTTTTAATATTCTAGTTACTTTCTTGAAGCTTCTAAATATACTGTATTATTTTATAAAGATATTAAATAAAAAGTTAAATGCAATTATTGAAATACATGACACTATGATTGGCAAAAATTATGTTAAAGCTAAGTTTGATTTTTTTTTTGTTACATAAGTTTATATAGTTGTCAAGAATACGTCAAATCTTTTATTTATGTATATGTTTTTTATACTTTATTTTTATTTTAGATTTGTTTCAAAAAAAAAAAAAAAAAAAAAAAAAACCCAAGGAACACATCAGAAAAATGACACGTGTCATTGCTGGTGTGTCTTTTAGTATATAATATAGTTAAGTTATTGTTTATTTAAGAATTAAAAATTCACCTAACTTCAATATTTCAGTGGGGATGTTGATGGTTATGTACCCCCTTTATTAACAAAAAAATGCAATTAAAAACTCGAGCTTCCGATCGCAAAACTATAACTACTTCTATTCCCAATATACCGCGAATTTTATAATCAAACTGACATTCCTCTAATCAACTTGTCTAGGGTTTGCCTATAATCAAACTGACATTCCTCTAAAATTTTAGTCCGATGTGACATCAAGAGCTCCAAATTGACATGCTCTTGAAATTTTATTTCAACGCTTACAAGAACTTGAACAGAATGAACACCCTTCATCGTCGAAAAACTCCTGACCTTGTTCTCAAGGTTCGCAAACTCTAATCCTTAACTCTCTATGATTTTATTGTTGTGATTGAATTCATCTTTGATCTTATGTTACCATTTGTTTGCTTTGATTCGGGATTAAATGAGTCGAATTATCAAGCTAGTTTTCTCTAAATCTCTACTATTGCATCTTTGAAATGGGGATTTTTTTGAAATGCGGATTTTTTTGGGGTTGACTATGGTATATGATTCGAGAACTAATTATTGTTTGTAATTGATTACAGAGAAAGCTCCTTACATCTAGAAAGCATAGAAGGGGAAGGCTAATTATGAAAAGAGCATCAACACCTACAACAAGAAATTGGTATAGTCTAATTTGACTCCATTTCACTTTTGAAATTTGCTTACTTATGCTGGTATTTTTGACATGATTGTGTAATTGTTGAATTTTGTTTTTATATTTCCTGGTTTACTCAATTGTTTGCTTTCTTGCTCTAGATTGGGTGATGAATTAGACAATGGAGAAAACACTACCTTGAACAAAAAATCATATAGTAGACGAATTTCTACTATTGCATGTTTGAAATGGGGATTTTTTTTATGGGCTACTAATACTTCTTTACATAATATTTGTGTTGATTTTTTCCCTTCGGTCTGAGAATTGTATATGGAGATTGTTTTTTTTTTAATAGAAAAAATTAATCGCTTTTCTACTAGATCAGATTCGTAGCATTTCAATTATGTGAGTGATTTCTTGCTTGTATGAATTTTTGCAGATGTTTATAATAAAAAAAATTCCCCTGATTTATTTATCTGTGTTTTGGAAGCTATAGGATCTTTGAACGAATTGAGGAAGCTGGAATTGTTATTTAAGGATGAGAGCAGGCATGGTATTTCAGTTAATGATCTTTACAAACTTGTTCAACATGGTGACAATAATGTGTTACAAAGGCTGTAAGTTTTAGTCTGCAATCTCAATTTCATAGTTGATCTGAGTTGGTGAGCTTAGTTTTGATGAATGGTTTGAGGAGTTGTCTGATAGGTGAACCTTGTCAACTTCTGCTAATTGTTTGATCCAATTGTAGATGCTCGAAGCTTCTACCGTAGTCGTCGGCTACGGACGACTACGGTAAAGATTAAATCTCAACCGTTTATTTTTTAATTGACTAACCCTAGCCGTCCAATTCGATACCTCAACAAAACAGTCATTAAATCTAGTCATCAAGTCATTTACACAGTCATCAAGTCATTAACACAATCATCAAGTCTAGTCATCAAGTTATTAGACAGTCATCAAGTCTAGTCATCAAGTCATTAACTCTAGTTTAGTTAAACTTATTTATTTAAATTAAAAGCTTTTTTTTCATCTTTTAGACAATTGAATAAAAATATCTTATATTCATCTTCAACCTATATTATTTAAAACCTTCCTGTTCAACCTACAACATTCATTCTTCTGGTTCAAATTAATTAAATTATTATATTTTGTTTAATTTCATAATTAAATTGATCATCATATAATCAAAATTTTGGCTTCATAAAATCGGTTTTCATAATTAAACGATTTTAGTAATCTTAGCTACATTCATTCTTCGTTCAAGTTAAAGTAATTTAACGATTTTCCTTCAAAAAAGAAAGTAATTTAACGATTCGAATGCTAGATATTTCAGCATTAGTCAAAATTATTTTGTGCTTGAGTTTGATGTATTTTCAAGATTCATCCGCAATTGTTTTTTCATTATTTATTTTTTTTAATAGCAATCCGTCATTGTTAAATGCTAAGGTTGAATAAAGATTAAAGATGAGCATAGGTTGAAGATGAATATATTTTATTTAAATTTTTTTTTAATAATTCCTTTATTACGTGCGTTTTATTAGGGAAACAAATATTCCCTATCCTTATACGTTTAACGCTCAATCTTTTCTACTGATGATGCTTTTTTTTTTCTTCTTCTTTTTTTTTTTTTTTTTGAGGAAATATGATGCGTTTTTTTTTTAGGAAAAGATAATTGTTACAATATTAATTTCCATTATTTTATTAAGGATAGATATACATATGTATGGCTTCTGCAATAATACACGGAGTATATGTTTCAATAGGAATAGATAATACAAGTAATATAAAAAGTGAGCCCTTAATTAGATTACAATCTTATCATTGAATTTAACTTTGTCACACGCACTAATGTCAAAAAAATAACTTCACATAAATTTAAACTAGTATATATAACTAACAAACCCTTAAACTAATTTATAATATTACTGACCATGCAATTATGCATCATATTACACCAAAGCTAGCAAGCTCTTTTTTTGAAAAGAAAATTATCTCCATAGTCATTTTGATACTCTATGTCAGTATATGAATTAATTTCTTGAAAATTTGTCCATAAAAGAGTTTGTTAGGCAAGAATTATTGTAAATGCTATCTTTTATTCAGGGAATGCTACCCTATTATTTAGAGCATCTCTTAAATTTGAGTCTGCTTTGCTTTAGCTTAGTGCTATATTGATTTACAATCGAAGGTCTTCTTTGATTGAAAGACAATTATTTACCTAATAATTTGGTAACTTTTCAAATTATGTTAACCTGAAAATATATTCTTATCCTTAAATATAATATCACAATTAATTCTTAAATATGTATAAATACACATGTAACGCTCAATATTTTCTACAAAGATTATGATACGTTTTTTTTTTTTTTTTTTTTTTTTGTAGGAAATATGATGCGTTTTTTAAGGAAAAGATAGTTGTTACAAATATGTTAATCTGAAAATATATTCTTATCCTTAAATAAAATATCACAATTAATTATTAAATATTTATAAATACATAATATGTATAAATTTTCTTAAAAGTACAAGATACATAATTTGAATATATTACGACCTCACCTCGATATAAGGTTGCCTACGTATCCGTTAGGAATCAGGCCGAATGTAGCTCTAGCCGAACCCCGCACAAGTGTGTGTATACCTCAAAAAGGTCTTTTTAAGGGTTGTAACGTGGTTAGGCTAAAGGTTAAAGAAGAAAGGGACAAAGGCTCAAGATCCTCGATAAGCCCCCAAGGTGTGCAACCTTGCTTTTGAATCTTTGTATTTTTATGCTTGAGACTTTCTACTCTTTTTTAGCTCTTTTTTCTCTTTTTTTTTTTATTTAGCATTTATTTTATTTTTATAAGTGTGGGAAATCCCGATCATGCGGTTTATCACTCACTTGGCATTCATGTTTCTCAGGCACGGTACCGAGCACTCGATAAGAGACGCAATCTGAGACGTGTTCATATCAAAGACATGTTCATGTCAAAGACATTGGAACACTTGCCCCTTTTTACACTTTTATTTATCTTTTGTTGTTTTTGCTATTTTAATCATTTGAAGTCACTCAAGCTTTTTATGAAATTGAAAATTGCATAAGTTGCACACAATCTCATCCCAAAGTTAGGTAAATATGGGTTAAAAAAATGAAGGGTCTATCGTTAGACGAGGCTCAAAGTGGTTTATAAAAAAAAAGATTGCATATTTGAAGGGTGAAAGGTGATATGATGTGGCTACAAGGGGTGCCTCAAATCATAAGTATACCTTGTGCTTAGTTTGACATGGATTTTTTTTTTTTTTTTTTTTTTTTGCAATGCAATGAGCATATGCAAAGAAATAAATGCTCATTTTATTGAAAGGGAAAAAGAAAAACCTACAAAAATAAATTTAAGGGAAAAGAAAGGTGCCTATGCTAGACTCATTGGGGAAAGGAAAAAAATGAAAAAGAAATAGAAAAAAGAGGTCACGAAATCTCGTCGTTAAAGCTTGCCTTGTGCATTTGTTTCATCATTACCCTCATTTTTTGTTTGTCAATCACATGACTCAAACTCGATTCAACATACATGGATGGGAGAAGGTAGGAAGAATGAAGGTTGTGATATGGAGAAAGCATGTAGAGAATGGAAAGATGATGTAGATGGAGAGATATGAAAAAAAAAATTAGGAATAGAATGTACCCCCAACTCAGATGACGGAAAAAACCGACTCATGCGTGAACCTAAGACATGGTCATAGTGACATATAAAAAGTGTGTGCTAAGACTAGTAAGTGTAGGTGACATGTTAAGAATCGTTTCATGACCATGTGGTTAGACTATGTGACTAGACTCAAACAAAGACTAAGTTAAGACTTCACGTATATGCATTAAACTGGACAGGCTGTGGTATTTTAGTCATAACTTTTTATCTGTGATTCTGATTGGGATGAAACCAACGCAAAATTAAAGATAAAACTCAGGGCTACAGATCCATATGTTGTACGACTCTTAGTTCTTCCTAGAACTCCGACTATGACCAAAACAAGTTGACGCTTGTGCAGTATACGGGAATAAAAATCCGGGTTGACTTAAAGGAATTATGACTCGATTTTAGGTATATTTATTAGCTCAAATTAATTAATTAATTAATTAAATTCCTTTATTAATTAATTATTTTATTTAGGCTTATTTACAAGCACAAGTCAAACCAAATGGTTAGCTTAGTCACATAATAAATATGCACAAGTAAGAGATGCACAAGTAGTCAAGTAGTCACAACATGATGCAATGAGTTTGCAACCTAACCATAGCTCTATTTCTCTAAAGTTTGGGATATGGGTTAGTCAAAGAGGGTCCATGGTTCATTGTCCGGATGCATCGCGCGGAAGCCTAACCATGAAGGGTTGACGCGAGTGGATGGGACACCGCGAGTTAAAAACTCGCTTCCATGGTTTGGTGAATTCAATATTCTCGGATGTACCCTTTGTTGCACTGAGCGTTCAATCAGGTAGATGGAGCATGAATTCCCAGAGGGTTATGTCCATATGTTAAACACATATGGGTTTCAGAAAAGTGAGAAAAACTCAATCCGGAAGTAGGATCGAGCAAGCAATGCTAAAAACTGGTCGAAATTAGAACGCATATTTCTGGCTCGGTATTGGAAGAACTTGGCGCCAACAAACAGAGGCTGGAGCCAGCTTTTGGCTTTAGCTCCTGGCGACAGAGGCTGTCGTCTGGCACTAAGGTCAAAATACTGGCACTAATCTTTGTTCGTTGACGCTAGTTCCTACATGCTTCAGCAGCTTTCTATGCTCGATAAAATTTTTCAGTTTCGCGCAGTGTTATTTTGGCCCTAGTTGTGAAATATATTCCTCAAATTTCCTACGTGTAAAACTCCTATGTATTAACTCATTACGGATGGTCTTTCCAATGAGATCTTTTTTATGCATATGACAATAGTGTTAATCAAAAGTACGCACATGAAATACTTAGAACTTTTCGAGTCTTATCCACTCATTCTAAATCATTGTCGAAATAAATTTCAAGAATTAAAATAGAAATCCTCAATAATAACAATAAATATAATCAATAATAATCAAGCAACATAATAATAATAATAATAATAATAATAATAATAATAATAATAATAATAATAATAATAATAATAAATAATAATAATAAAAATTATCATCATCATGTTAATAATAAAGCATAATAATAATAGCAAGATCCTAGGCATGATACTAACAAGATTAATAACAAACCCTAGTATGTCACTAAACAATAAAAATCAAAGCTTTAACCCTAACATGATACTAACAATCATAAATATTAGGAAGAAAATAAAAGGCATCATACTTTTAATCATACTTGATATTAAGGTTACCCTAGACATGATACTAGAAATTTATTGTTGTCACCCTAAACATCAAATTAAGGAAAACATCCTAACATGATACTAGGAATCATAATAACAATCTAAGCATGATTTCTAGATAATAACATCAATAAAAACCATTAAAGTACTTACTTGGATGCCTCGTATCTCTTTCTAATAACAAAATACACACGTTAGTAACTTCAAGGAAAATAATAAAACAAACAATTAAATTAAAAGAGAGATTTGGGACCAAACCCTCAGAAATTAAAGCCTTTCACGTCTAGAGAGAAGGCAACTTCGAATATGGCTAGGTGTATCTAAGTCTTGTGAGTGCGGAATTTTTTATTTGAGAAAAGGCTAGTTTAGAAAAGAGAAAGAGAATATCAAGAATTTCTTTATGAGAGTTGGTGAGAATTAGAAAGAATAAGAATTCATGAGAATTGATGATTTAAAACAGAGTTTTTAGAAGACTATTTATAGAGAAAA